TAATCAGCTGGACAGCAGTGGAATCTCTCCTGAGCAGCCTCACATGGGCCCAGCTTTCAGGGAACACTGCATCCATGCTCTGCCTCGAAGGGTAAATACAGATACCAACAGTGGCAGGAAAAGTACTCTAGATGGAGAAATGTGTGAGTGATCAGGATTGTGGACAAGGGAACATTGTGAGAGGGATCTCATCCGTACTTCTTGGGAACAAGGGGGGGTTTCCTGAAAATAACAGTGCAAAGGTCAGTGCAAACCTGGAGTAAATTGAGGAGGGCCCACTGAATTAACTCAGTGCCAGAAATCAGACTCCAGCCCTGACTGCCAGGGCTACAGTGGGTTCACTTTGCATTTACACCACGGACCCTGAGATCAGAAGTCAGACCTGGCACCATCAGCTTCACACAGCTGGTTTCCCCATTTTCCTGAAAATAACAGTGCAAAGGTCAGTGCAAACCTGGAGTAAATTGAGGAGGGCCCACTGAATTAACTCAGTGCCAGAAATCAGACTCCAGCCCTGACTGCCAGGGCTACAGTGGGTTCACTTTGCATTTACACCACGGACCCTGAGATCAGAAGTCAGACCTGGCACCATCAGCTTCACACAGCTGGTTTCCCCATGCTCGATTGCTGCCCCCCAGGGAAGACGCCCTCAGCTGCATTCTAGCTGCTCCTGGGTGGCAGATGAGGGAAGCATTCAGACGCCCTTTTTGCGGCCCTGTCTCTGGCTATTGAACCCATTTTAGGGAAGCAAGGCCCAAGTCAAGCTCAGGGAAAGGGAAGGCAAGTCCTGATTCACAGTGGCAGTCAGGGCAGCGCATGGGAAAGAGCAGCTGGAGTCTATGGGTGTGTCTAGACTACAGGGTTTTGTCGACAAAGTGGACTTTTGTCGACCAAACTATACGTGCACCTACACTACCACCAAGTTCTGTCGACATGCCTACACTACCGCCAAGTTCTGTCGACATAACGACTTAGCAGTTTTGTCAACGGCTGTAAACCTCATTCTGTGAGGAATAACGCCCTTTGTCGGCAGAGTTCTGTCGATAGAAGGCGCTATTGCATCTACACTGTCCTTTGCGTATACACTGTCACGTCGACAAAGCAGCTTGCTTTGTCGACAGAACTGGCTGTAGTATAGATGCTCTTTGTCAACAGAAGCTTTGTTGACTATCTGTGGACAAAACTTTGTTGAAAAAAGCCTGTAGTCTAGACATACCCTATGATGCAGGTTGGAGGAAGGACGAGGAAGGGATGGAATTCCGTCCAGCTGGCTGTTCCTGATTGGCTGGCTACAGCATAGCCAAGTCTGAGTTTCCACCCCCCTCCCACCTCAGCCTTCTGGCCTGTATTCCAGTGGAGAAACTGAAAAGAGCGAGAAAGAAGAAAGGGAAGAGGAAAGTAGGGATGTGAGTGACCATTCCAATAGCCGACTACCCCATAAGCCTAGGCTGATCAGGTAGTCAAATTTACTATTTGTATTTCCCTCTCCTCCCACTGCTGCTATATGAGAGGCAGCAAAGGGGGGGCAGGAGCCGGTGCTGGGGGAAGCCAGCTTAAAAGCCAGTTCCCCCCAGCATTGTCTCCATGATGCTGCCTTCCCCATGCTGTTGCCTTTATCAGCAGTGCTGAGCAGTGGGGCAGGGGAGGCTGGACAGATGGGGCTGCTGGACCCCGTGTGAGCCGGGACTGAGCATGCTCAATCCCAGCTCACGCCATGTCCAGGAGCTACCCCCACTGCGGCTTTGCAGTTTAAAAGTAGTAGGAGCCAGGCTACAAACTAGAAGATACTTTGCAGGGTAAGAAAGTCTCTGGTTTTTATCATTACTAGGCGGTAACTTTATAACAGCCGTACCCCGCCTGGAGCTTTAGGGAGAGTGCTTTTATCAACAGGAAACCAGCAATAACCCAGCAGGATCAGACCCACAGTCCATGTAGCTCAGTCTCCCGTCTCTGAGCACCAGCTGCTACAAAGGACAGATAACAAAATCTGGCAGTGGTCACATAAATATTTGCTCTCAGGAAAAGTCACTGCCTGACCCTTTACTGGCTTGAAGCACAGAACTTTAGAGCCCTTCTCAAACATGTCCATTTTTAGTGGTTAACAACAAAAAATTCTGAGTGTCGAACTTTGGATACTCACATTTGTCCTATAAAAGTCCAAGCCCTTGTGATCTTGCCAAGTTCCTGGCCTCAATGGTTTCTTGTGGTAATGAGTTCCACAGACTAATGTATGCATTGTGTGTATTTCCTGTTATAGCCTCACCTGCTTTTCAGCCAAGCCTTTATGCCAGGCTGATTGTTTTAATACTGATCCAGGCTTCTTGTTTTCTCTGCAAGGTGGTTTCACCACTGCAGATCCACCAACCGTCCTTCTCCAGCCTCAATCCCTAAGGTCAGTCCTGCAAGTGCTAGTAGTACTGTTGAATCTCTCTACTCCGGCACTCTCTGATCCAGCAACCTCCATGGTCCGGCATAATTTCAGTTAGCCAGATGTCCACTTATCATGGGTATAGCCAAGTTTCTTGCCATCCCATAAAGTTTATACCCACCAGTCTTGGCTCTCAGGGTTCTGTGCTGTTCTTTAGCTCTAATTTACCCCCAAAATGTCTTCTAAGAGCCCAGTAAGAAGTGGACGTGTCAGTAATGCTGCTAGACAATATTGACCTTCCATGGTCTGGCAAATACACTGGTGCTGAACCAGTCAAGTTCCAGGGTGCCAGACTAGAGAGGTATCAGAGGGGTAGCCGTGTTAGTCTGACGAAGTGGGTCTTTGCCCACGAAAGCTTATGCTCCTACACTTCAGTTAGTCTATAAGGTGCCACAGGACTCCTCGCCGCTTTTGCAGACTAGAGAGGTTCAACCTGTACTGCTCTCCCACAAGGAGCAGAGACTATCTTTGCTCTGTATGCGTACAGCACCTAACACAATGGGTCCATGATTAGGGCTCCTTGGTGCTATAGTGATACAAATGAATAATAAAAAGGTGGCAGAAAAATTTGATCTGACTCTCCCTGCAGGGATGTTCCAGAAAGAGCTGCTAACAGAAAAGCTGGGGAAACATCAGGCTTATAAATGTGCTAGAGAGACTGGGATGGCGCCATATGAAACAAACATAAAAGCTTCAGAGGGGGAGACAAATTAGTCTTTAACTGGAAAAACTTAAACAACTAATAGTCTAGCAGCACCTTAGAGACTAACAAAACATGTAGATGGGATCCTGAACTTTCATGGCTGCAACCCACTTCTTCAGATGACTGGTATATTAAAAGTCCAGATCCAAGAATAAATAAGGGAAGGTAGGGGAGGGGAGCAGGGGAAGAAAAAAATAGTGAATTAGATTGTTATTAGTCTCTTCTAACTTGAAGAATCTAATTTGCTATTTTTTTCCTTTTCCCCCCTGCCTTCCCTTATTTATTCTTGGATCTGGATTTTCAATGCTCCAGTCATCTGAAGAAGTGGGCTGTGTCCATGAAAGCTCATGATCCCATCTACATGTTTTGGGAGTCTCTAAGGCACTGTTTCCCAAATGGTGTTTTGTGGAACCCTGGGGTTCTGTGAAGTGAAAATAAGGGCTCCATGAGAAAATTCCATGACAATAACTTTTTATACATATTAGTTTTTTAGCTTTATTTTTTACCCATTAAATGTGATTGTTGTTTTTAAATATGTGCAGTTAAACAAATGCTAAACAAGGTCCACAGTTAGTTTATTATTCTTACTTATTTGTGGTCTATTTTTTCAGCTCCATGTATTAGGGGTTCCGGAAAACAGTTTCGAGTTTAAAAGGGTTCCGTGGCCAAATAAAATTGGGAAACACGGAGCTAAGGACATTTATCTTAGGGCAGTAAAACCAAGGAAGGAAAATATCGTCGATTTGCTCAGTGACACGGAATGGCCACTCGGTGGCACCAGAGCCTTTGACACAGCAATGACCGACTCTGAAATCGGTGTATCCACTTTCTATTCTAGCAGAGGCATTTGTTTGGAGTGTGTTTGCGCCATGTTCCTACCTACCCCAGAGTGACTGATGCCAGAAACCAGAATGGGATGCAGCACAGGGCAGAGGTTGGGTGTGATACAGCCTACAGGAACACAGACTGCCCCCCAGGATCAGTGGGGGTCAGGGAACCCCAAAGTGTATCCTGGGATAAATGCAGCTGGGGGCCATGCACCCCAGTGACTGTGCCCCAGGATCAGTGCAATGGGGGGCAGTGACTGATCCCCATGAACAGTGGTGGGGTAGTGCTGGCTCCCATTGTTACTACCCCCTAAAGCTCTCTGTGTAACCACGTAGATACGAGCACCAGGGTTTGAAGGCTGCAATTGCTCCTCGTGTCGACACTAGACTCGCTCCCGCTTGGATTGCACGGGGCCATAGCTCCCGCGTCCATTCCTCTCCCGCGTTATGGGCGGGTAACAAACAGATCGGCCTTTTCCGGGCGCGTTACTTCGCGCTCTATCACGTGTAAACAGCCCGGCTTCTGGTATTTAAGCCGCCCGTCTGCCTTTCAAAACAAGCCACTTCGGAGGGTTCCACTTTGCGTCGCCAGGCCATCCAAAGCGCCCTCCGTCCCGTTATGCACCACCAGAAATGCCCCAAGAGTCACAGACCGACAACTGCGCCCCTCCACTTCCCCTTCTCCCCCTTGTGGAGCCCCACGACAGCCCCCAGACATAGCCCAACCATGCCAATC